CACACACACACACACACACACACACACACACACACACACACACACACACACACACACACACACACAGATGTTCTCTGCGCCGATGCATTCCTCCTCTGTGTGGTGTTCAAAGCCTCGGGGCAACAAGGATTAAACCAAACCTCCGGCTGTGAGTCTACATCCATCAGCACATCTGGTCCAGTTCTCTCAGTCTCTCATCAGGTTCAAGAATTCAGGTTCAGCTTTAAAGCTTAGGGCTCACATTGGTCTCTGGTGGTCCAGTTCCTGGGTAACCAGTCTGAGAGCAGTGTTCATGTTCTCACCACAAAGTCAAGCTGGTTCATCAGTTGGGCTCTGCCCAGTTCACATATGGATGGAGGGAGAGACGACGGGGGCTTTTCTCCTCAGTAATAACGATGTTGCTCCGGTCGGTCGTGGTTTATAAAAAGGAGCTGAGCTGAAAGACATAACTTAATTTAGCCCTCACCTGTGAGAAGGTGTGGATCATGATTAATCCCAGACCAAACAGCTGAAGTGGTTTCTTCTGTACGGTGGTTCGGCTTCAAACTTGACTCATGTTGTGAGAAAATTAGGGGTTTACGATAACTATCGGCCCGATATCAGGAGATTATGACGTCATACTTATCGGTCCGATATCATAACAAACAGAACCGATAATATATGCATATGTTTGCCAGCGCGGCGATGAGAATGCGTGTTTATTTTTATCCTTTTTGGTCAAGCCACTTCCCGTCCAACCCGACCCGCGCAACGTTCAAGTGGCCTCGGAAAAAACAACGTTCTCACTAGAAAAATAAATAGCATACTCCGTGCTGAAAAACAACCAGTTGTTTTAATAATTATTAATATTTTACCAATTAACCGTGTATGTTACGCACAAACTTTATAATTATAAACATCGGAACAGCTACTCCCAATTTGAGAACATGTGATGTCAGTTACCTCCTGAATGCAGCACAAAGTCCGTCTGCTAAAATGCTAACAAGCTAGCGTTCAAGAACTTGTTAGCCACGGTTTACCATCGTTAGCCACGGTTTACCATCGTTAGCCACGGTTTACCATCGTTAGCCACGTTTACCCTCGTTAGCCACGGTTTACCATCGTTAGCCATGGTTTACCATCGTTAGCCACGGTTTACCATCGTTAGCCACGGTTTACCATCATTAGCCATGGTTTACCCTCGTTAGCCACGGTTTACCATCGTTAGCCATGGTTTACCCTCGTTAGCCACGGTTTACCATGCCGAGCTACTGCTAACACTCTAATGTGGTCGTAATACATTCACACTTTGATTGACAGGTTATCATTTCTGCACTATTATCTCAGAAGCTGTTTCAGGTAGAAAAATGTTTTAAATCATATTAATAATTAAAACAAATGTACTTTGAATCTAACTTGTGTTAGTGCATTATCTTTTCTGAACTTATGGAATGACATTTTCTCTTTTGTTTAAATCTGAGATCATTATTAAAGGTCTTTTTTATAATTAATGTCTTATTTAAAAAGATGGCCATTTGAGAAATTGTTTTATTTAATAAACTTTAAGAAATGTTTGTTTGCTAAGAGTTTATTTCTGATAGTATAATTTACAGTCATTTGGTTGTGGTCTTGTTTATTTATGTTATGATCTTACCCATTTTTGACTCGTCTTATCTCCTGGCATGTTATTGGTAATCGGCCGTTAAAGGAGAAAGTTATCGGTTCTTAAAATGAGTTATCGTGCATCCCTAGAGTCAATAACCGTTTTCAGCTGAAGTTTCTCAATTCTGAGTGTTTATAACTGAGCGTCAACGCTTCTCCGGTCGTTTTAAAGCCATCTGTTGGTCGTTTGACAATGAATGAACCGATGAAGACCCCGTTAAGGGTCTGAGGAATGCCTGATGTCAGGGTTAGAGGGTTAGAGGGTGATCCAGTCTGCTGCACCTGGAGCTCAGGTCGCTCCCAGGTCTGTGGGAGTCTGAGTGTTAGTAGGAAATGTGTGTCTGTTGGACGGCTGTTTGGTGTGTGTGTGTGTGTGTGTGTGTGTGTGTGTGTGTGTGTGTGTGTGTGTGTGTGTGTGTGTGTGTGTGTGTGTGTGTGTGTGTGTGTGTGTG